ACTGAATATATGCATTAACACAACTGTTCATATTTATTGAAACAAGTGAAGCCAGGGTGCAGTTTTTTCTCTCAGATAATCAATGCTTATTTACAATCTTTTACTGTAAAATCTTAATTGCAGAGCCAAGTGCTAATATGCTTAGTACACGTAGCTTTGAGAAAGCATCTTACTATAATATTGTGCAACATGATTTCTTCTTTTCCTCTGTGTTATTTGCTGATAATTCAGAATCCACTTTTGCTTTATTAGTCATGGAAGATTTTGATGGGTTGAGAGATTCAACCTTTTTAACCTGGAAAAGCACGATTAGGGAAATAAAGAAGACATAATTCATTACGAAAAGATTGGAACTAAAGAAACAATTACTTCTTCTACTATCTCTTCAACGCTCGGCCATTGTGTACCTTCATCCTCAATGTACTTATAGAAAACAGTACCAGATCGATTGACCAATATTGCTCCACCCTTTAAGGGGAATTGTTCTTATTTCTGTTAGAAACTATAAATAATTATACTTTTACCGCTTACCTTATGAGTAATGAATGACGTCTGATCAGTGGTTGACTCTGATGGTCTCCGCTCATCTGGCGAATGCTGTATTTCATCAGCCAGAAATTTCTCTACCATCTGAACAGAAGTGGGACATGATTCACTGTTGGAAAGGGGGAATTTAAGCAGTACCCGCAGTAGCGCATTCCACCCAACCAACTGCTCTGCTGATCGCCGTTGTGCTTTCAGCTCCTTCAACGCTTCTTGTTCATCGTACAGCTTACGGAATGGGATTCCAATCAGTTTGATGTAGGACCCGCCTACAAAGATAGAAAAAAAACTAAAAAGACTAAAAAGACTAAGGAAGGGTTTTCGTCGTTGAAATGTCTTTCTAAACGATATTTGGTAATAAAAATGTTTATTCTAAAGGTCATAGTTTTTCTTCGCTCCAATCTTGATTAATTAGGGAGAGGAAAATCAAATGTGAAAAATAATAGTAGTAAAGGAAATAAACTTGAAAGTATTAAGATTGTTAAAGCCGTTATTCTGTTTTTACTTCTCTATACCAATTGAGTTCGTCATCTCTTTTGTAGTTTAGAAAATTCTTGCCATTCATATGCCATGGTCGCCATATTTTCAGCTTAATGCAGAAGATGTTTTGATCATCATCACTTCGACAGGCATACACCAAGAATATGATGGAAAAATAAGTAAAAAGAAATATGAGTCATCCGAATTTTGTATGAAATACTATATAAATAAATAAATTTAATATACTTCTTGTATGAAAGCATAGGAAGGCTATAATCATCCAATGTTTTGCCAAAATCTCGAAATTTTCAACACGAAAATGCTTTTAAAGGAAATTAATTGCAATAACAACTTTAAGTTACTCACACTCTCAGTCAAAATGTACTGTTTTTCATAGATCTTAGTTATTTTCAAATCTGAGCTACTGAGTTTAATCTGAAAAAGGAAATTAATTGAATTTATTGTTGGATAACAACTGTACATAGAATAGTTCACACGATTCCAATTGAGCTTTGATGGGAATACGTGGGAAAGTAAAAGAACAACGAACCTCTTGTGCCTATAGGAGGTCCTCTTGTTAGCAAATAGACATCACATCCAAGCTTATGAAATTCATTCATTTTATTATAAAGTGCCATTATGCGCTGGTTGACTTCAGCAGAATTAAAAGATCTAAAAGCAATAAATGAAATCAATATTTATAAATTTATTTATCAAAGAAAATATACCTTACAACCA